AGGTCAGCTAAATAAATGCATTTATACTCTGCCCTTTTAGTGGAAGTTGACTTCTTTTCCATATAGGTTGATTTGCATCCAAAGAACAAGGCAAAGGAGTTAAGTAGGAGAATCCCTGTGTACCACCCATTGGAGTGATTTTGCTTCTTGACAACCTATCAGAAAATAATTCAAAGAGGAATGTTCCCCACTTGCTAAGTGTGTGAGGGGCCTCAAGACACCATAATGAGCCTTGACTTTGCCCAGTTACATAATTGTAAATGCAGACTAACTCCATTTCCCCTAGACTTCACACTGGTTCACCAAGAATGGACTTTGACCTGAAGTATTCAGATTTCAAGAGAAGTTTAACTACCTGTTAAAGTAGGGGACAGTTTTAATGTGCGGGTGCTGCTAGCCAGCTGCATTTTTTGCTACAACCTCTCCTCTCCATGCACATTTCTCATGAATGTCAGAAAAGTGCCACCTTCACTATTCTACTGGTTTTGTTTCATTATGACCCATCAGCACCATTGCCTAAAAAATTCAGTCCCCAGGTTTCCATCCTAATGTTGTCTTCTTCCAGCAGGCACTATGTGGTCAGAATGTTCCTTGCGTTTTTTATTCGAAGATTTGTGTATTTAAAAACATGAATCACCTTCTGAGCCCTTTGTGACCCCATTTTACAATGCACAGTAACATTGCTTTAAGCAGTCAGCTGAGGATTGCTCTGCTACAGAGAAAGTAAGGATATCACTAAGTCAACCCTTTGGTTTCTGCGGATCAATATACTAGAATGTTTTTCTCAGGGAACAGGAGCGCGACTCAGGAAAAGTGAAGAGACAAACCTCTGGAGGTCTCCTAAGCCTGAGGTTCAATGAGCTTCAGCAGTAGCAGAAGCAAGTGCTTCAATAAGAAGTAGTAAGGTGGATGTGCATCATGCAGCATATTGCAATAGAGAAAAGCCAAAGGTATTATCAGGCAAGCTTATGTGTTCATAGCACCCCACTGAAGCACTCAGTGGAGATTTGAACTCAGGATGTAGAAATCATATAACTATATGTCCCTGGTACTGCACCCAACATTTTTTGCAGAGAAGTCATTCTTAGCTCTGTGCTTATGGTGTCCCAGGGACGCCACCAAGCATGAGGTCTGCTAGTTGGAACATCACTGTGGTAGAGGTAACACATAAATAGTCATCGCACAATAAATACTTCCACCATCAGACTGTATATGTCAGCATTTGTTTTCAGATTGGCATTTGTCCTGTTCCCTGATCTGGCCGAACCAAGCTCTGTTGGGTTTTTTTTTTTTTCCCCTGAACACAGTCAAGGTAAGAGGGATGCTCCAGTAGTGAAGGAAGAAAGCAGGAGCATCCACAGAGGAGCATATGATGAAGGTTTATTGAATTTAGTGTTTCAGATTTCACATGAAATAGGATGTTTCATTATGATTGCAGATAAAAATCTTAAATGGCTTAGGACTGTGTAATTCTTAGCCAAAGCTTATAGAAATTGCTACAGCCTCTTATGAGCAGAGAGGTTTGATTTAATTTTATTTGAAATGTTGTGAAAATAAGAGCAGCGATATGTATATAGAGAGATTTTTTAAATAGAATTTGTTCCTGTGCTATGACCTCATAATGAATGTTTTAGTCCTGAAACAAAATTCAGTCGAATGAGTTACCAGTGTTGAAAAGCAGGTTCTCAAATAGATCTGCTGGCAGACCTTTAAATATGACCATATGGGCTGCATCGCTTTATTTTTAGGTTCAGTTTCTGGACTTCAAAGTTGTGTTTCTTAGGGTAATTCTCATCTGCTTTCAGATAATTCCCCTCAACCCTTTGTCATCAGCTGTACTGGCATTTCTTGTTAGGGACCAAAATCTCCAACCCTAGCTCTTCTAAACAGTTCTTAATAATAAGTCTATTAAAATCATGGAGACATATATCACGAGTAACTGATTTTTTGCAGAGACAGGCCGTAAGCATTGTGGAAGTCTCTAGACTGGAGTTCTGCCTTTGGCCTGTCTTGTGTTCTGCTGCAATCCAGGACTGCAAAATCTGATTCTGTAAGATGGTTGAGTACCTGCAGCTCTGGTGAAACCAGTCAAAAATATTCATTTATAAGAGCAGCTCTTTCAGCTATTTTGTGTGTATTTTGTGCATACCGGGTAAATAGTTGTGGGATTTTTGTATAGCAAGACTTCATTAAAAAACAAGATATAGGAAGGGATAGTACTGTGGCTGAAAGAGAAGGCCATAAAGATCTTTAACACACTTTAAGTGGAAGTACAAACCCAGGAGGCCTCTATTCCCAACTTGCTAAGTCATCATGCAGGATTGACAAAATTTTGTTTACCCATCATTAAAAGTTAGTTGCTTACAATTTGAGATCCTTGGAAGAACTTTGTTTTGTGATGGGAGGAGAGGGATGAGGAATGAGGAGTTCCTGTCCAGGTGCACTCATTGCATCACTGTCACCAGGGTGATGCAGGAACCTTTTCAGAGGAGTTGCTCTGTATTTACACCAATACAAATGTTGTCTAAAGTTTTTACAGGATTGCTAGCTCTGTCACATTGCAGTTAAGTTTAATGCATTGTAAGATACAATGTGCAATGTAAGATAGCAACCCATCCATATCTGAAAGTTTTTGTTTCTTCTAGCCAAAGCTGAAAAACACAGACAGCAATTCCTCTGGTTTAAAGGAGGTTTTGCATTTAATGACAGGCACCTCTTCTGCAACACCATTTTCATCTGCAGAAACCCATGTCAAGGCTTTATGATTTCCTTACCAGGAAAAGGAATAGAAATGTTTTCTCTGTGGGGGTTGTTTTTTGTTTTGTTTTGTTTTATTTCTTTTTCCTGGGCTAGGTAATGATTGAAGAATGAAATTTAATCAAGAGTGATATCAGACCAGAGAAGTATTTCTGGAAATACATAGACTCATGTATGTGTTACAAGCACTTGGTTTAATGTTTTTGATAAGAAAAGGGCACTCAATGGCCAATATGTTGTTTTCCTTTTCCCCTGAACTGGCTGGAGTACTGAGGACATGATTGCCCCTTCAACTCCTATTGTAATTTCATACCAATTTTAATTGTTGTAGTGGTTTCATCTAGGAGTTTCTTTTCATGGGAGAGGTTCTGTCAAAGGTATTAAGCTAAATTTATACTTGCATTTTCTGAAAAAACAGGGTTTGTGCTGAACTTATTTCCACTGTCTGTGGGACATAGGAAAATAAATAAACAATGTTTTATTTATAGGCATACCTCTGTATAACCACATACATACATAAATTTCTCCATATATTTCCATGGATGGTGGGATCTGCCTGCACAGGTCAGCTTGCTAAATCAGAATTTTAAGAATCAACTGGTTTTCTCATTAGATACTGGAAAAACAGAATCATGAATCAGTGGTTATGCCAGTCTAATGAAAGCAAATTAAAAAAAAAATAATTAAAATCCAGAAAATAAGTGAGATTTTATTTAGAACATGCCTGTCTGGTGATTGCAAGCCTAAACTTTGCAGGGGGCCGTGTTTGCTGGCTGTGTATACCTGTATATACTTATACTGTATGGCTCTTATATGCACCTGTCTTGTGTAAATTTTTATGGTTGTAAGTAAATGTCCTCCACAAATAGTGGTTAGTTTGATCAAGTAAAGCTTAGAGAGTGCAGCCCTACATTTTTCCAGGGCCTGTGTTTGTATACACACAGATTCAGAGCATCTTTTGACTTACATCTACGTCACATCACTTTCTCATGTCAAGTAATGTTTGCTTTGTAAGTAAAAGGGGTGCGGGTGGTCCTCGCTCGTCGCTTCATGTTTACTCTGGTGAATTCCCTCTGCTCCTGCACTAACCTGCACTGAGCTTGCCTTCACTGTGGCAGGCACTAAAAAAGTGCAAGTAAAGCTGTCTCTATGCTTGCCTGTAAGCGGAGGATTTGCCCTTATAGTGGCTATAAGAAGCAGTAAGCTGCATATGTGCTTAGGACGGGGAATATTTCTCAGCTCTGCTGAGGTTATGGTCTGCACAAAGGGAGCATGTGATGAACTGCTGTCTTGAGCAGGACCATCGGAGCACAGGAGGAGATACCCCGCTCGTCAGGCTGCCAGAAGGCTGTGCTGCTTTTAACTCTCATTCCTCTTGCTCCCTCTTTAAAGACCTCTAGTGACCGAGATTTCACAGCCTGCCTGCCCGGTCAGCTTGAGAGATGGACAGTCTCTGCTGCATATAGTTTTCCCAAAGTTTAAAATGAACTGCCTTTTCTATAGCCCCATTACTTTTTCCCCAGCCCCTGTAGACAGGGAGAACAGCTTCCCTGTGGTGTCTTTTCATATGTTTGAAGATCTATCAGCCCTATTTGACTTTCTTTCCTCTAGATTAAAGATCCATATTTACTTTGGCCTTTGCTTGTAGGTCATGTTTTCTAGATTTACCTTCCTTGTTCTGCTTTTCTATGTGTCCCTCTGGCACACATCTTATTTGAAGTGCAGTATTGCAGCAGAGGCCTCACCAATCCTTGGTCAGAGCAAAGGATTACCTGTGGCTTGCAGACCATAGTGCCATGAATAATCCCTCCCTTATTTTTACACCAGCATTAAACTGTTCTTTCAAACTGAGTTTGTGATCTACTGCAGGTTTAAGGACAGAGATCCTTTTCAATAGAACTGCTATTTAACCAGTGCTCCCAGTTGGGTATTTGCATGGCTGATCTCTGCCTGCCTTAAATTTCTGCAGTTCATCCTAAATAATATGTGTACTCCTAGCAGGCTGCTGTGCACAAATATCTGAAAGGAATTGTGTTTTGTAGCTTTCTTAAATTGCTTATTGAAAATGAGGGCAATAGGCAATTCTTGTCTGTAGGAGGAAATTTCATGTTTAACTTCTGTGATCTATACTTAATGTCTAAATTACCTGTGCATGCAAATCTACATTATGGTGTATATAATCCATCCTTGTGAAACATCTAAAATTAAATCTGTCAACGTACACGTACAAGAGCTCTTTAGGAGTGGCAGTTACAGATTTAACATTCATGCATGTAAAATTGATATAAAAAGTTAGAGAAGGGTTTGAAGCTGCTTTTAAAACATCATCCGTGAAGTTTCTCCAAAACTCTGCAAAACAGGAGTCTGATCCTGCAGATACATCTAACTGAAAATATTGGTTGAGCTCTCTGATTAATGCCCAAGGCAGTAAATGCTTTGTACTTGATACTAAGTTTGCATTCCTTGGCTGTTAAACTGGAACTCCTGCGATTTTAATATAGTGCTTTAGCATTTTATACCTATTCTCTGATAAGAGTAGAAGTTTCAAAAATAGCCGAATCAAATCTCCATCTTTTTTTTTTTTTTTCAAAATTTAAGTTTAGTTTAGGTTCACTGCCAATAGTTCTTATCCTTGCTTTAGCTGGGTTAGCTTCAACTACCTGATTATACAGCTGGTTTCATTTTTTTATTCCGCTTTGAGCATCTTTCTGTCTCATCCCTCCTGTGTGTGTATAATGCTTGTAAAGATCGTCTCCTCATTTACAAACCCTCTTGAACTGGAAAGGGCAAGCCAGTAACCCCCATCCATGGACTCCTGTTTGCTTCTTGGCACATTTTCCTTACCCTGAAATGCAAAATGGCCATTAAAATCACTTTGTTCACATTTTGACATTTCAGCCTCTTCACCTTGTGTCGATTGTATTGGACTCTTCTTCCAAATATCTGCCCAGTCCTTTGTTTCTTCCCCTTTTCAGCTGCATAATGCATGAGACAGAAAGTGTCTTCCCCGTGCCTGGTGACAGACTGTGCTGGGTACGCGCCGGCAGCCTGCAGCCAGCCCGTGATTGACACTAATGCACTGATAGCAATTTCATCTGGGTGTTGCGGCTGTTGTGTTTAGGGGAGGCTGGTCAGTAAGGAGAGCAGGAGCCGTGTCACTGATGCAGCTTGTCAGTGATTCACAGAGATCTCTTGAAGTACCCTATTTTTGGAAACAGCATTTCCAGATAAATGCTTTTCCAATTCCAAAGGCATTTTGACATGCTGGGAAATAAACCTCTACCTAGCTGTGGGTTTAAGTCACATCCCTAACATTCTAGAATGTGCTAGTCATTTGATTTTATAATCTTTTCTATGAATTGTAATGATGGTAAGGACCAAATAGGCTTAGTCCTGTGCTGCCACTCTATCCAGACACATAGTGAAGGCAGAAAAGGCACATTTAGAAACTGAGAGCCCCTTGACGTGTCTGGCAAGCTTAGCTCTGAAATCCTCAAAAGAGAGAGTCTTCCTTCTCCCTCTAAATTTAGATGAAGAATTTTTACATTCTTGGAATAGAGAGGGAGAAAGGTGGAATCAGGTAACACGGTGTTGAAAGAAAATCGTAGCGTTTTCAGATGCAGAACAATTTTCTGTGTGGCTTCTCTTTGACTTGTGTAAGCGTTAGCTGGTCCACCTGAGAGCAGCCTGGTTTGTGTGTGCGAGTTAGATTGAGAACTTTAAACTCATGTCACCTTTTCTTTTTAGGCATTCAAGCCAATGTTTTAGGGGCCTCTCTGTCTTCTACAGGACCAGGTAGAACTGCTTTGCATAGGGCTTTTGTAAGCAGGCCTTTGGGGATTAATGGGCTCGGGTTTGGGGGTTTTTTTTTCCTGCCTAGCACATGCAGAAATGTTATTGCTCATTCACTGGAAGAGAAAATGAGTTTGCCAATTCCAGGTCTTCGTAGACTGTTGGCCTTTCTGAAAAGATACCAGGCAATGGGACTTACAGATTATTATTGCCACAAATAATTTAATTGGGATTTAATACAGAAGTCAACCCTTTTGACTCACCATTTTTAACCATCAGTAGTGGTCATCTGTAATGGCTCACCCCAGCAGTCCAGAGTGCTTGTTATTAAGAATTTCTGCATTTTGGATTAGTGTTTCCCACTGAGAAATTTTAATTCCTGTTACCAGAGAATTCACATACACATGAATGATTAGCAAATCTAAAGGATTAAAATAAATGCACAGCAGGGTTAATACACTTCAAGACTATTGTTGTTACCTCAGGTGCTACAGCACAAAAAAGGGGGCTCCCACAGCTGTAGCTCATAGTAAATAAATCTGACTGTGCCACCATTGCTGAACACTGGAAGCAAAGTTTTTAACATTGTTAAACACCAGCTTTTTACTTCATCACTTAAGGATGGTTCCCCTGTTTGCATCTTCATCTGCAGAACTGGATACACCATGGAGATTTTGTGAGATCGAAATATGCACTTTGTTACTATGTACCCAATGGGAATAGCTATGGGTTTGAATTGAAACCACTGACTGTAAATGGCTGAACCTCAACTGGCTGAGCAGATGAAACAGATGTATTTGTTCACGAGTTTAAAGTAAACATTGGGCATTTCTCAATAAATTTGTGCTCTCCTGGTCTGGATTGTCAGCTTGCTTTAAAATAGCCATTTCCCACAGACATAGGCAAAGGTTTAAATTCTCTTTGACCCTTCCTTGCACATGAGTGTAACTGGCCTAGCTACCCATCCCATGAAGAGCGGGGGCTCAGCTGTGTGCTTGTACTTGCTTGTAAATGCCACTCTGATGTGTGCTGTGAATAAATAAAGCCTGTTGGAATATGATGCAAGGAATATCCTTTTAAGAATCTAATGAAGTTTAAAAGAAGGGTACTTACCATAAGCATGTCATTTCCATGAAGAAAAACCTCTTTGCAAAATGATTTAGTTGTTAGGATTTTTTTTTTCTTTGAGTTGAAGGAAAAAAGAAAACTAAAGCTGCTTCTTACAGTAATCTGTTTTTCTCCCTCTTATTTTGTTTTATTTTCTTATCTACGGAAGTCGTGTAAGCAAAGTTCTTTGCCGGTGCTAGGGATTTGTGTGATATTTTTGCAAGGTGTGGGCTGTAGAATGTCACACATTCATTTTTAAACTGTTCTGCTCTCTGATATGAATGAAGTACAGGGCAGTCAAATGTCAGTGGAAGCTTAGCAGCTCACTTTTCCCGCTCCTCTCCATTTTCTTCTTATTAGCTGTGTTTGCAAAAGAGGAGCCTCTTATGTCCTTGGCTTTGTAAGTGTTTTCAGAGCAGGCAGTGTTTCTGCTTTGCCAATGTTTTTGACATCTCCTCAAAATAAGAAAAGACCCATTTTCCCAGAACAGAGGCGTATTTGGACATTTCTAAAATAACTTCAACCTTTAATTTGCTCCACCCTTCACTGACTGTCAATCCTCATTGCAGTTTGGGTGTGTGTCAAAGCGTAGTAGATGCTGCTGTCCTCATTGCTGGGGCCAGGGCAAAACTCCTGCTCCAACTCTCAGGTTGCACAGAGTCACATTGCACTCTCCACCTGAGCACTCAAAGAAAATCCCCAGTGCAGGTGCCCCCATGGGATGGATGCAGACGTCCCATTTACCTCCTCATGAGTGGTTCTGATCTCTGCCCTCATCCCATGCCCTCTGCTCTGCCTGGAGTGGCTGGCACCTGCTCCAGGGGCTTTACGTATGCCACTCTCTTCAAGGATGACGTAGCACTCCTACTGCTGGGGTGATGCAGGTTTGTGCAAGATAAGTTATTGGGAGGGATGGCTAAGCTCAAAGACTGGTATCACTATAGTTATTGTGCTCCACAATAGTTATATTAAAAAGCTGTGGGGTTTCCTCTCTTGCGGTTTGACACATGCCCTGCATGTCTGACCAAGTGGGATAATGGTGGTTTTCAAAATATTTTCTCATTGTTTTGTTTTTAATGAGGGAAAACTGACCTTGATTTCTCCCCTCTTCAAAATACCCTAAAGGAAGCTAGCCAAGAAGCAGAAGGAGACTCAGACCAGCACACAGAGGGAGATGGGTCCTGTGGCTACTTCTGACAAGACCTCTACCAAACTCAGTGCTGTTCACAATGAAGAAGCTTTTTCTTCCAGCTGCCAGGATGTTAATGGATTCAGTAAGTTTAACTTGCTTGCAATGGGTATGTCCCCCTTGGAGAGCTCTAGGATCTTAGCAGGACCTATTCCTCTGGGCAAAATATTGAGGAGCTAGGAATGACAGTGATGGAGATCATTGCAAAAGCTTGATAGAAATCAGCTGTCTGAAATGTCTCTGACACTGCCCCTATTTTCACTGTCAGATAGGTGCAGAGCATTCCTTCTGACTCTAAATCTACTGAGAATAATTTATAAAGCCTGTTCTAATAACTGCATCAAACAGTCAAAAAGGCACGTGTTTATTTGTTTTTCAGAAATAATTTTTTTTCCTTTGTGAGTAGAAGAGTTGAATCAAATCACTTAGCTGACTTGTAGGATGAAATAACTTGTTCTGTATGAAATTGTTATGAAAGAAAGCATGGTCTTCTGGTTAGAGAACTGGAATGGAAAGACAGCATTTCTTCTTTTGTCTGTGTCTTCCATTTATTCTTCACATAGGTTCAGTAAAACTAATCTTAGTTAATACTTGTAAACTACTCAGACCTCTGTAGCCAGAAGAGTTTTGTGGGTAAAGCAGCACAAAGTAATACTTTAGCCTCACTTGTTCCAGACTGAGTACATGGTGGATTGCATGGTGGATTTGTAAACTTTTTCATATTAAATAAATTTTAATTTAGACACTATGGGAATGTCACTCCTTCTTTTGACACTTAGCCTGCTAGTTCGAACAGGGAACAGCTCTGAAACACAAGTACATACTATAACGCTTTTGTCTTTCTTAAACATCTTTAGTGAAATGTTTTTTCCCCTAATTATTAACATGGGAGTGCTTATGGTGCAAAATGTGTTTTATCATGGAAACCTTTTTAATCTCAGATTGAGTGGGACAGGCTGAGTGAATTCTTCTTTCCCTGCCATCTGTAGGTCATGTCAAATTCCATCTGCATGTGTTGCTACTGCTACTCGGTGTAATATACCTGTGAGATGGATAAATAGGTGTTTGGGACCATCAAGGCTGGCAGCGAACACTTCTGTCTGATATTAAATTGACTTGAGTCAAGATCTAATTTTCTCAGGTGCTGAGTAGCTAGATCTCCTAAAGACACAGCAAGAGTAGTCAGTAGTTCACGTCTTTGAAAGACAGGATAGCAGAGGACAGCATTGTAACAGACATCCTAGGAACAGCAAAGGTAGCTTGTTTAAAATGTGTGGGGAAAATGAAATTTTTAACACTTTCTTCAGAATCTGGATTGTTAAAAGTTTGGGGTTTTTTTTTCCAACCAGAAAATAAGAGAAGAGATGAGCCTGTAATGTGACCTCATTTTTTTTCCCTTGGTATTTTTAGAGACTAATTAAAACAGCTGAGTCATTTACTTGAAATGGCAACTACAGAAAATATATCTAATTTTGTAAAAAAGCATCCCTCCAGGTTTTCTTTTTTTTTTTAATCAGTTAGTCCTTTGCTTGTTGACATTGCTGCAGATTTTATCACTACCTCCCTGTACAACACAGCCTGAGTCAAGCCATGGGCCAGTTCATTTCTGTTTTTCCTTTTTATATCCATGAGAAACAATTACCAGTAAGCCTTCATGTTTTCTCCAAATTTTTTACTGACAAGGCCAGGATGCTGAGGTGTTGGAGGTAAGTTCTCTTCTGTGCAGTTGTGTGCACATGCTGATACAGGAATTATATAGGTAGAAGGCTTTCTTTTTAAATAAATGACTTAATAGTGTTTAATACTTTGAGGGTTTCTGTATGGGCCTACTCTAACTTTTGAATAACGTAATAGGATTACTTCTTAACCTTCCTGCAAACTAGTAGAGCTTTACAGGGCGTTATCCATCCTAGCCTTTGGAATCATTGTCTGTCTTAAGCAGCAGTCAAATTCCTTCTTAAATTGTCCTTTTGCATCCCAACAGGAAATAGAAACATTTGCAGATATCTCATGATAGGTAGTCATCCTCTCCATCCTGACCCTCAGTCATGGGGACCCAAGTTGGCTGTAACAGTGACACGGAAATACCTCTCTCCTTTTTGAAGAAAGTCCACCAAGAGAAGTTAAGTGTTTTCAATCCCAAGATCACCTTGCTAGCTCACAAAAGCAATAAAATAGAACAAGAGAACTTAAGTAGGAAACTTCACAATTATTGAATGACTTGCAAACAAGTTTATCTCCAGGTGACAGTGTCCTTGCAGGGCATGTGTCCTTCTTTCCAGTTTTTCCTTCCTGTCCCAATCATTCTAATGACTTTTCAGGCAGAACAGATTCCGTGAGTCCCTACAGAAGCTTTTGTTCTTCGCATAGTCTCTTCAGCTTAGCCACTGGTCTGCTCCTACTGCAGGAGGATTTTGCTGTTGGGAATCCATCGTCTGCCCTCCTGCTGTAGTTCCCCCATTTCTTGCCTGTCTCGTTGCAGTCATCCTGTGGGAGCTCCCACCTGACAGGTCCAGCAGCTGTAAAGGGAGGAGCAATGTCCCCTCCTCATAGCGGACAGGGTGCTGCCTGGCCCTCTGCATCATGAAGGACACCAAAAATGAGCAGCTGCCTTTCTGCTTTATGAGCCCCTCCTTTTCTGAGGGGACATAGACCTGAGTGCTTTTACAAGCAACTCTGAAAAAAGCATGTAGTGAAGGCTATGAAAGTAACTGGGTCTGTTTCCCCACTAAGAGTTACCATCCTCCTGTCTCTGCTATTGGTAAAAATGCAGATTTCTTTACCTACTCTGTCTCAGTGCTTTAGGCAGAAATGCTCATGTTTTCAACATAATCTCATGCAGATGGTGTGATCCATGAAGTCATGCTGTTTGTGTGTGAGGGAGTCCTTTGTCGAGGCCAGTGCAGTGCTCAGGAGCACACAGTCCTGTTGGACATTTGTAGTTTTGAATTTTATCGTTCGGTAGAGGTGTTCATTATCAAATGTAATTGCATTCTGGAAGATCTGTAGCCTCTGTGCTAGAACAGGGAGACCTCAGGTCTTGCTGAAAAGTGGAAGAGAAATGGGCATTTATCTTTCCTGGCCCAAAGCAAAGCCCCTCATCCCTCTTCCTATTCTACACTGTGAGTCGTTATTCAGGCAGAATTCTCACTGATACATACAGGAGTTTAAACTAAAGGGATTTTATGGACTCAGCCTCTGTCTCTGACACCACATGGAATCAGAATAGGTGTTTGCTGAAAGATAGATTAGTCCATGGCTATTCCAGCTTGTCTGGTTTTACCCAGGGATTATGTGGAGGTGAAGCAGGCCTATCATAGTTGTTCATTTTCTCAAATATCTTGCTTTTTAAAAAGTAAAAATATATCCTAAATCCATTAAAGCTAGATGATGGTACTTGCAGTGTTTGAGCCTGCTGCTCAGTTTGCAGGAATGTTTGGAAAGCAGCAGCGTTTTCCTCTGAGCAGCACAGCACAGTCACATGCAGGCATTGACTTGGTGAAGGATTATGAAACGAGATGACAAATTGAAGGTGAGGTGGGCCTAAAATCATCCACCAGCATCTGTGCACTGACCAAAAGGGTCTGCAAGGGGTTGTTACTGCACATAAATTGTGCGCAATTTGGCAGCCCATCCGTGTGACGGAAGAAGCAGTAGTATATCATCTTAGCAATGATGCACTACTGATATGTCCTGCACAAAGTTACTGCTCTTCTGGCCTTGCAATGCTAAAGTGCCATGGATAGGGCTTGTTCAGGAGAATGCCACGTCACCAGCATAGCTGTCTTGACATCCTTGAAGGGTTTCTGGCAGGAACTGTTTGATTCTGAGGATTTAATATCTTAAATTGTAGCCAGTTTTGCTAGAGACTGATTTATTAGGGTGTGCTTAGCTCTTGTGACATCTCTGTTTGGGCGGAGACTGCTTTCCAGACAACCTTCAGGACTGAGACTAATACAGGTTACGTAGGTTGCTTTAATGTTACAGGCAGAAGCACAGTTTGAAGACAGCATTTTGGAAGTTGTAGGGAACTGAGTTTTGCATTAGTGAGCACTATTGTACAGTTACCAAGTTACTGTGCTTTTACTAGCGAGAACAAGGAGATAAAAGGAAGCTGTAGGTAAGTGGCACTTGGGGTGTTCAGGATCATTTTTAACGAAGAACCATCTAAATTCACACCTCTCTTGATCCTGCATGTTTTTGTGATGAATGATATGCAAGTCTTTAGATTTGCTGTAAGTCAGAGCAGACAATTACATCAAGGTCTAGTTCTTATTCCCACCCCATAGATAATTTTCACTCCCAGTTAGGATACCCACTAAATGCAGTCCAAGGACCTGTAGGATCATGACCATGAGATGTTTTCTTTAGTGAACAGTTCTAAACTTAATAGTAATAAAGCCAAATTTCATCAAAGGCATAAAAGGAAAAAAAATACCAAAATCCCTCTTACTGGTTTTCATACTGATTCGGGATCTTTTGGGGGTTTGCTAGTTTAGAAAATCTTACAAAAAGTGAGGGAGAATAATTTCCAGAATAGGAAGAAGCCTCCTTCTGCATGCCTAGAGGGATCTTTGTGGCCTCATGTGCCACTCTGGGGAGTATAAAGAGATTTTTAAATGAAGTCTCTACCCTGACATGAAATCCTCTCTGGAAATATTTCCTGTGATTGCACACACTAGTGCTTGTAAGAACCTCTGGTAGCAGCACTGTGTGCCCATCTCTTGTTACACAAGCCACTAATTGACTGATTTTGAGAATGAGGTCTCCAAAGTTTTGGGAA